TGAGAATTTCACACATGTATAAGATGTATTTTGATCATACTCATCTCCCACTCCTTGCCTTCAACTCCTCCCAGACAATCACCAAACATCCCCTCTGTCCTAGTTAGGGTTATTTCTGCTTTGATCAAACACCATGACCAAAACAACTTGACTTACCCTTCCACATCACTGTTCATCATCAAAGGAAGGAAGTCAGAAGCGAAATTTAAATAGGGCAGAACCTGGAGGCAGGAGCCAACACAGACCCCATGGAGGAGAGCTGATTACTGGCTTGCTCCCCATGGCTTATTCAACCTGCTTTCTTTTAGAACCCGGGACCACCAACCCAAGGATGGCTCCACCCACAATTGGACATTCCCCATCAGTAACTAATTTTAAAAAATGCCACACTCTGATGACTCAGAGAACTAGGAAAGAACAAAACATGATGAGAGAGAAAATGTCAATGTAATGATGCCTTACTGATATTCTGCTACACTTGTAGATTGGTGCCGAGCACAATTGTCATCAGAGAGGCTTCATCCAGCAAGTGATGGAAACAGATTCAGACGGACATCCAAACATTAGGCGGAGATCCAGGAATCCTACAGAGGAGGGGGAAGAAGGGTTGTAGGAGTCAGAGAGGCCAAGGACACTACAAGAAAACTCACAGAATCAACCAACCTGGGCTCATAGCGGCTCAGAGACTGAACCGACAACACGGGGGGGGGGGGCACAGAGGCTGCAAGTGGCCCTGGTATAGGTAGAATTGAGGCATGCCCACTTCTGGTCACCTCTAACTGATGAGGGGCTAGAGCCAGGGTCCAAGGGTGTGAGTGTAGCAGTCATCAGAACACAGATATTTCTGCTAGCTGTCCTTGAACATGGCTGCAAAGTTGCCATGAGAAAGTGCCTCTGCCTAGGACAAGAAGAAGGGACAATAAGGAAGCCAACCATCCCCCCCCAGACCAAAAGCAATGGAAACAGTACTTGCAGAAGAACCAAATTTGATCCTTGCATCCCACTTGGCTCAAAAAGCAATTCTGACTAGGTCAATGACCTCAGTGTTATACCAGAAACTTTAAAGGAAAGAGTAGGTAATAAACCAGGATATAGGCTTGGGTACAGACTTTCTGAATAGGATCATCCAGTGAATAGAAGTAATAACACGTAGGACCCTGTGAAATTAAAAAACCAGGATTCCTTAGACAGGGTCTTTGAGCAATGATAGTGGTGGGATCCACAAGTTGCATCAACTGGACAGGGCCAGCTCAAACCAGGTAAGTCATCACCGAATCCTGCCTCAGTATACACCACACTGCCTGAGCTGTCTAATCAGTCCAAGTCCCTTCCTTCCCATGAGTCAGGCCCTAAAGGAGGTCTGCTGTCACAGCCTACAACCCTGATGCTGGCCTCTGACATACTTGGGCAGTTTCTTGTCTTCTGTGAAAGAATAGCCCTGTGTAAATTTGATGTTTCAACTTAGGATTTTTTTTCAAACATTACACATGGGGTAAACTGCCTGTTGGCTTTTGATCTACATTTGAAGTAACAGGTAGACAAGCAGTTGTTTGTGGGTTGGCCTCAAAGGGGCTTGGGAGCAATTCATTATAGAATTCTTTTGAGGGAGGGTATCTATGTCAGGGCATTATATGCTCGAGCTATTTCATCTGTGTTGCAGGCACAGTGTGTCCAATGAAGACTGATATCCAAACTTGCTAATTGGTCATTTTACTTTAAGGGACAGTTTTAAAATCTGGGATCTTCAATTTTTTTAAATTCAACATACTAGTTACATAAAACTTTTCCTAGTCACTTGTATTTCTTCTTTTAAGAACTCTATTTAGTTAACAGCCCCAATCTTTATGTGGGTTATGTTTTCTTGTGACTATATGTCCTAGTTCTTTGTATATTCTAGACAATCATCCTGACAGATATGCATATAGCTGATAAATACTGCCTCCCTTTACAGTTTTTTTGTTTGGTTGGTTTTTGGTTGGATGAATCTATCAATCAAGTGTCTTTCACAATACAGAAGTTTTTTCATTTTGTTTGGTTTTTTAATTTCACAGGGTCCTACGTGTTATTACTTCTATTCACTGGATGATCCTATTCAGAAAGTCTGTACCCAAGCCTATATCCTGGTTTATTACCTACTCTTTCCGCTAAAGTTTCAGGTATAACACTGAGGTCGTTGACCTAGTCAGAATTGCTTTTTGAGCCAAGTGGGATGCAAGGATCAAATTTGGTTCTTCTGCAAGTATATATTCCATTTTGCAGGACCATTTAAGATGCTTTCTTCCCCAACATGTATTTTTGACCTCTACTAAAATTCCTGTAGCTGTAGGTCTGTAGACCTATATTTGGGTCTTCTATTCTACTGACCATCATGCTATTTTATATGTGCCAAGCCTACATGTTTTTACTATGTTCTGTGGTGTAATTTGAAATCAGGACTGGTGATAACTCCAATAGTTTTCATTGTTCAGAATTGAGTCTTTTATGCTTCTGTGTGAATTTTAAGCTTTTCTGTTTTTCAGTGAAGAACTGGAATTTTGATGGGAACTACAATGAATCTGGGTTGCTTTTGGTAGAATGGCCATCTTCACCCTATTAATCTTACCAATCCATACCCATGGGAAGCCTCTATTTTTTGGTGTCTTCTTCAATTTCTTTATGTGTTTTAAAATTTCTGTTTTGTAGGAAATGGCTTTAATTTCTTTCCCCTATGAGAAAATTAATGTAAGGTGTATTTTCAATGCAATTATGGAGGGTATATTCAAGTACATTGCTAGTTTGTATTCTTGTTGCTGTGAGAAATACCATGAAAAAAAAAATCCAGGCCTCAGCCATTCTCTATAACCTCTTCAATCCTGAAGCCATCGTGTCTTCCAAGCAAGCACCATGTGGGTAGCCATTAAGTACTTCCAACTTCAGCTGCCAGCTTAAGCTGGGACCCTGGAACCCTTGGTGCAAACTTCTGTGCCAACCCTGAAGAAACACTTTCCAGATTTCACCTCAGTGATGCCGACATTTTATTCATCATAGCTGTCCTATAATGTCACTTCAATGGTGTGGAGTTTGTTAATCACACCGGATTTCCCAGATCCAGTGTAACCGACCAGCACAAATGACTAGTCACAAGTGTCACAGGAATGGTTCCTATTCCAGTTAAGTTCTGAAGCACTCAAGCCAGATTTCCAGTCCATATTTCTCTCAGCATTATTGCCCAAGCTTCCAGAGTAACAATCCATAAAGATATGAGTACTAGATAGCATTTCCAGCCCAAAGCTCCAAAAATCCTCCACAACCCTCCAACAAAACAGTCCAAGTGCATAAAAAGCCGCATGGCCAAGTTTACTGTGGCCACATTCCTACTTCCCTGGTACCAGTATCTGTTTTAGTTTGATCTCTGTTGCTATGGCAAATACCATAATCAAAAGCAACTTAAGGGAAGAAACAGAAGGAATGGTTCATTTAATCTTACACTTCCAGGTCAAGACAGTGACCTGAAGGAGAAAACTTGGAAGCAACACTGCTTACTTGCTCAAGCACTGACTCGAGCTTAGCTAGATTTCTGATCCTATCTAGGACCACCTGCCTAGGGATGGTACTGCCGGCAGTAGGTTAGACATTACTACATCCATTGATACTCAAGATGATTCCCCCACAGACATGCCCACAAGCCAATCTGATCTAGACAACTTCTCAACTGTGGCTCATTTAAGATGATTCTAGGCTGTGTCAGACTGACAAAGCTAACTTGGGCAGGGAATTACAAGAGTCCTACTCTGTACCAGGCTTCCATAATTTCTGGTGAGTTGTCTCTGTGCTTTTATAAGACACATAACCATCCTAACCACGGAGCCTTGACCTATGACAAAGGTTAGGAGATTCCCCTACTCCCTGTGCCAGGCCTCAAATTCAGTGAGTGGGCCCACAGAACCATGTAGTAACTAGAACTGAGTATAGAAATGGCCCCTTATGAACACCCTCATCACTGCATCTATATAATTCTATGTAAGTTAGAAGAAAAACGTAAGAAGGAGAGCATTCTCCAAACATCCTTCAAAGATGCAATCAGCTGACCACTAAGAGAACAGCGTTTACTGCATGTTACAGACCCAGAACCCCCAGCCTTCCTCTGTACCTTCTTATGGTTGCTTTCCTAGGTCACACACACCACCTCACTCTTTTCAGCCTGAGTTTCCATCCTAGCAGCAGGGCGGTACATGGTCCTCCGCTCCGGATGTTCCACAGCGTGTTTCAGGGGTGGAGCCACATCTTCCAGAGCCATGGTTCAAGAGCAGCAGCAGGCTCTTCTACTCAATACCTAGTCACTTGTTCCCCCAAAGGAAGAACACCTGAACCCTTTCTTATATATCTTTAACCACAGTGAAAAACAAATTATAAGCACCGTTTATTATACACAGATCAAGTACTCTATTTCTGAGGCTGAAGACATGGAGTGGTAGTTGGAGGATGTACTGTTCTTGCAGAGAGGGGGCCCAGGTTAGATTTTAAGTATCTGTGTCAGTGGCTTTCAACAACCTGAAACTCTAGCTCCAGAGGAAGCAACACCTCTGGGCTAATTCATTCACAGAGATATACCCACACACCACACAAAATATACATATTAAACATTTCTTTAAAACTTTTTTTTTTTTTAAAGCAAAAACTTTCATTTCCAGCAGGTCACAAGTCCCCAAGGAATATCTTTGTTTCAGATTTTTTAGGACGTACGTGGGGATGGAATGTGATCAAGGAGAGAGTAGTATAAACAGAAATATCTTGGAACACACCAGAAATATATGTATGAATGCTTTTCAATTATTTTCCATGGTGGGGGGCACACTCAATTTACAAACAGCCACAAATATTTCTCGGGAGTTTATTGTTACATGTTGTGGCAGATAAAAAATGAAATATACAGGATTTCAGTGTACTAACCATGGGTTAAAAACAAATCAGAACAAAAAACATTCACATATCTTTACACACACGTACAGGTACAGACACAGACACACACACACACACACACACACACACACTTTAAGCAAAATAAAATGGGTAGATTTTGGGTGGCTTCTCCTGGGATCAATAATAAATCACACAAAAAGTATATTCTCAAAAAAGTTATATTTTCTTAATCTTTAGACACCAGAAAACTTTTTCATGAAAAACACCATGACTTTTTCATTGTCAAGTTATCAAATCTGATAAAAATAATCATGGACTAAGTAAAGAATCAGAACCAGTGCAGAAAAGGAATCTGTGTGGCCCCTCATGTTGTCATGAGCAGTGAATTAGCAATTCAATCACCGAATTGCTCCAAGCTGCCTCGTTATCATAGTGAAGACTTTCAGTCAAACATGTAACACTGCTGAAATGAAGAAATATTTCTAGTGTAAACTGGAGAGGACTGATAAATCAAGGATTGCATCTCCTCTAATTCGTCCTCATAATGATGATCGTTTTTCCGAGCTGCAAGAGAAAATAATGTTCATTTGTTAAGACTGGATGACAAGATTTTCAAGAGCCTACTTTATAATAGTTCTTCCTGAGATCAGGACTGTTCACTGGGGAAGCAGGGGCAAGAAGAAAAAAAGCCTCAGAGACTCCGCCCCCTAATCAGTTGTGATGAGGTAAGGACACTTGCTGTTGCTGCAGCAGCTACCTGCCCCCAATTTAGTACACCACTCAGCCCAGAGCTGAATGTGCACAAGCCTTGATACGAGCCTGCGTGGACATAACGACAGGACATGGGCCCTTTACTAGAGAGACACAGCCTAGCAAACAAACACCAGTCAATGGTGGATGTCTTTATAATATGCCTGCCCTGAGAGGGTACATCAGTTAGAGGAGCGCAGAAACTGAAGTGAGTGCCAGCAGAGGAAACAGGGTAGTCATTCAAAGTTTGTAGACAGGTGAGAACTAAGCTTTGAGAATTAAGTCAAAGGTCAAAGTAAATACAGGTCCTCTGATCTTTGTTTTTTTTTTTTTTTTTTTAAATAAAGACTGTTGGCAGATATAGACCCAACTACCATCACAAGATTAAAGCTACAGCAAAGCCTGTTCTGTCCACTGTGGCTATTCACTCCTTCCCTTAGGGGAAATACTCCTTGGAACCAACACTACATATGGGATGGTTATGTTATGTTTAAAACCCACTTGGATTTTTTTTTTTTTAATGAAGTCCTCTACAATTATACATAAATTCAAACACAAATGAACCAGCCAGAGGTTGTTAGGGTCCTAATCTGGGAAGAAGGTAGACAAAAAGCAGAGGGCAATCTGGGGCTAAGATGAAGACTGCTCATTGAGTCCTCAAGCAGTCACTCCTCACCTAAGTGATGCTCTGTCCCTTACATACTGCCTCTACTGTTTTTACCCATATTGTTCAACTAAGACATAAATACCTACACCCAAATCCTTTACTTAACCACCGTATAAAATGCATGAAAATCTGTGGTAGTAACTTTTCTCTGTTGCCTACAGACAGACAGACAACCATAAAGCCCCAGACCGTGACAGCATACAATTCAGTTCATATTGTTGTCTTCAAAAAATAACATATAATGCCCAAAGGCAACTACATCACTGTTCTTGAAAATGAAAATTGGAAGTGCTCAAGGGGAAAAAGAAAGAGCTCCACATTCTTTAAATCCCTGTGCAGGAACCCAGCCCACTGTCTGGCGGCTGACTCTGTTAAAGAACTGCCCTGGTTTCTACTGAATGCCTAATAGCTCAGTTTCAAGGCTTTAACATTATTTAACATGTTCCAGTTGGATATATAAACATTATTCAACAATTATTGAATAAAAAAAAATATACAGGAGCCCAGAGAAGGACATATACTCCCCCTCAAGAGATTACATTACCTTCAGAAACAAAGAAATCTGCTAAGTAAAACGCTGTCCTCACAGCATTTGGTGCATGGGAAATGCCTTTCAATCCCTTCCACTCATATGGTGCTTTCTCAGGATGCCACTGGACACCAAAGACTGGATATTTAAATCCTGAGTGGAGAACACATACCAGTAAGCACAAAGAATTATGTACGATGATGTCCCTGCATTGCTTCATGCCATGTACATGCCTCACAAAAGTACTACAACTCACCAAAACCAGAAAAGGTAAAAGTTATACATATCCTCTCATGCAAATAACTGTTCACATAGTCAGTGTATCTCACTGACTAGCATCCTCTTAAAACGTGAGTTGCATTTCCAGGAAATGAGAGTAAATTAAAACAGGTTAGCCTGTCTGAGCCTATCGAATGATTAGTGACTTTAGGGAAACAATTGTTAAAATACATTTTAATGGTTTAAAATAATGGTGGTTATAATGCAATTGTTTTTAGAACTTTTAGATGCTATACCTGCTCTTAGCTAAATAAAATTATTTAAACCCTCAGATTAGATTGAAAACTAGCTTGGTGTGGGGAGAAAGTCATAAGAAAGAATGGCCACTTGCATACTCACTGGTTAGAACTGAGAAATTTTCATGTGTTACTCCCTGATTTTTCCTACATGTTTGAAAGTTCACAATTTGGGGGGGGGGGGGGACGTGACTATATATGTGTCTGAAAATTAACATGTCTTCTCTTTTATTCACATATTTTATTCCTTGTTTTAATAGAAAGGAACCTCTCCCCCCTACCCCACCAATGCTTTAGAATGGAGACCATGATGGATTCCAGAAACCATGTGGAGAACACAGCCATCCTGAGACAGCACCTTCCTCTCATACCCCCAAGCTCTAGAGCAGGTGAGAGAAAGTAAACACTTCATCCCAGTCTTGTTGGAGCCTACAAAAAGCAAAGCTTGCCAGCCAGCAGCTCTAAACACAGAGCCCCTCACTTCCTTCTGCCTCCATCTCCCTCTCACACTGCTGTCTTCCCACAGCCTGGGATGACCCAGGCAAAAGTGAGGCTGGGAATAAAAATGCCGAAATGAGGATTCACCTGATAATCACATACACAGTCAGAAACAAGTAATGCTTCCTGATTGGGAAACTGATATGAAAGCCTAGTGACATTTCTTGGCAACTGTAGAAATTATAACCTACATCAGTAGTTTAGAACAAGATCATCAAGACTGAAATGAAAACACCCAAGTAGTAGAGCATCAAGGGCTCCTAACTCACAGCTACGATAAGATTATCAGGCTCTGATATTTCCACATGAGCCTGGTGTGATGACATAGTCAGAAGAACCAAGGAACCCAAATGCCTAACTTCCAACCCTATACTACTGTTTAAATGGTCATTCATTCATTCATTCATTCATTCATTCATTCATTCATTTACTTTTGTTTTCCCCAGAGCCCTAGACACAGGAAAATGAGACAAAACTCCAATTCTCAATGGGCTCTAGAAGGAAAGATGGACCTTGAACAAATACAAGCAAAAAGTATCATTCCCAAGAAACACAAAGCAAACACACAGAGCACCAAGACATGGAGAGGAGAAGGACAAAGAGGGCTGCCTCAATGATGAGGCAGCTAGCCTGAGTCTTGAGAGCTCACAGACGACATCAGGGACATGAGGGGCTTTGGATAACATGAGAAAATATGGGAGGAGAGAGGTAGGAAACACTGCTCTGTATGTAGAGGGGCAGATATGAGCTGCACAAATCTCAAAGGAACACAGTCTGCAGGGAAAGCAGCAGAGAACGTGGATTATGTGTCCACATATAGACGTGTCCTCCAATAGTGAAGAGCCATTGAATGCCTTCTAGGTAGCACAATCAAATTAGTTTCTCAGATCCCATGCCCAGATGGAAAATAACTGCATGGGCAGTTAGGAGGGGGCTGGGTAGAGAGGAGAAAGCACATACAAGATAGATCTGGGAAGCAGAGATCAGCTTTTTAGAAGTAGACAATGAGGCAGGAAGCTAATGTGGACTCAAGGTCTCTACTGCAGGATGTTTGGGAGGTGGAAAGATGACCACCCTACTTCCCCCTGAGCTGACCAACATTTCTCAGAATTTCCTGCATAGGCATTTCTATTCCCTCTGGATTTGACTGATATGCTGTGGATTTGGATGCTGGAAAGTTAATTCCTAAGTCTGGTTAATGGTTTATAGAAATGGAACCCTATAGGAATTAGAAGAGGTTAGATGGGTGAGGCCATGTAACACCAGTGACTCTCTAAGAAGGAAAACTGACCTAGTATCCCTTCCTGATTTGCCATGTGATGCTCAGGGATACTCTCTACAGCCAGCTCTATACAGGGATGCTCTATACAGCATCCTTGTCAGATGCTAACACTATGTTTCAGGACCCACTAACCTCCAGAACAGTGGAGATGAATAAACCTCTAAGTCATGGCGGCATGAACAACCTCCAAGTAATAATCACGGCCCCCAGCTTATCGTGGTTCACTCTTCTCTAGACTCTGTCCTCTCAGGTTGCTCTCTCCACCCTCACAAAATCAAAGAGCTGACCTGACACAGAAGCAAAGAGAGTGTGTTCTGTCTCTGAGTCCCTTTCCTGTCTCCAGCTCCTCCAAATACCCTATCAGCCTTTACTCCTAGGTGGTCCCGTTTAAGTTTACAGTCACTCAGTCACCACACCTCCTGAGAGACAGAATAGAAACTCTGTAAAATGGCATCTCTTGGGATAACTGTAAGTTATCCCAAGTTTCCGGATTCACCTTCACACACACTAAAACATCAAGTGTCACCAACACTTCCAATCCCCTCCTCTTTGGTGCAATAGCTACTGTAGTAATGGTCCATCCCCTTAATCTTTTCAAGTTACCATCAGGAGTTATAGAACTGCCTTCACATCGTGTTCTGAAAGATCATAGGAATGAAAACTATATCTAAGCACTTAGGGGGAAGCATGGTGTCACACACCTGTGGTCACAGAGCTCTGCAAGCTGGGACAGGGAAGAGCGCTGTAGGCTAGAGGCTAGCCTGGGACAGTGAGTTCCTAGCTAGCCTGCACCACTGTCTCAAAACACAAACAAAAATATGCATTTTGTCGTGCTTTTTTTATTAACTCAAAATTGTTTTCAAAGCCCATTCTGCATGAGGAACACAGGGATCTGCATGAAAGGGTTTCATTAAAGTAGTTTTGATGGTTTGTTTGTTGTTTTTTGTTTTTGTTTTTTTTTTTCTTTTTCTTTTCTTTTGGTTTTGGTTTTTGAGACAGTCTTACTATGTAGCCCTGCTGACCTGGTCTACCAATCTTCCTGCCTCAGCCTCCCAATCACTAAGATTATGGGTGTGTGCCACCGTGGCCAGCTTTGTTGAGGCATTGTTACATACTGGAAGAGTATGTAACAATGGTAACAGGGTAACAGGGTAACAGGGCTGGCAGGACTGGCTTCACTAAGGAAAGTCAAAGTGCTGCAGGCGCTCTCACTGAAACCCTAACTACACAAGCAAGCGCAGTACTGCACCCTGGGTGGCACTTGCAGTCCTGATGTAAGGTGGCTTCTCTCTTCCACTGGCATTCTGCTATGTAGGCAATACAGTGAGGACTTCCTTCACCCAGCTTTGTGTAGATAACACACTGAAGTCATTCTCCAAGGCACCTACTCAGGGATTTTGGTTATGTATAAGAAGCTATTATTTAAATTCTTTATTAATGAATGTATTTCTTATAAACATAGACCCTTTGGTAGTTACATGCATTAAAAATATATTTTTCTTTTTCTCCTCCCCCAATACAACTTTTTAATTCAGTGGAATTTCTCCATCTTTTCATTTATGGCTTATATTTCTTTTCTTCAAAATTCCTTCTATCAGACAAGATCACAGATATTCTCTCTCTTTTTATTTCTCTACAGCTTCTCTTTAATGTACCTCTCCATTTAGGTCTTTTATCCACCTGAATATCTCTTTTAACATTAAAAAAACAGTCTCTGGCCCTCTTCCTCCTCTGTTCCCAGTCTGTTGCTGGAATGCCTCACCTCTGGCCTCTGGCCAGATTCCCACCTCTGTGCCACTGCCTGTGAAACCCATCTAAGGTGGCTTCTAAGCGTTTCCTTTGGATCTTCCCTTCTAGGCTAGTTCATTCTCTTTGTGTGTTGTAGGACTGACCTCTTTTGAGACCTCATTTGAACTTCCTTCCTTTTTTTAATAACTGAATTTAATACTTTTCAAGTTTCCTTCATGCCTTTTCCCCTTCCAAAGTCAGGGTTTCTGTGTGTAGCCCTGACTATCTTAGAACTCAATCTATAGACAAGGCTGACCTTTGCCTCCTAAGTGCTAGGATTAAAGGCCTGTGCCTCCATAGCCAGCCATATATTTTCAAATGTTCTTTATTTCGTCAAAACTTAGGTGTTCTACTTGTCAGAGTTTTTACAGCTTGTCTGTGCAGGGCTGGCTATCTTGTTATTGGTACTCTGATTGCCTGTGTGTTAGTGATCTGGGACATGAACCATGCCCCAGAAGCATGGAACGAATGATTCTTGCCCTCTCCAAGACAAGTATTTTGATTTGTTTCTGCCATGAACATGTGTGCTACCAGAAAACACCTGTAAGTGAACATTTCAACCTGCCGTCTGTTCCCATTCCCAGCTACATAATGCAGGCAACACTAAACCAGCCTGTCACCATTAGTACTCAAGGTGCACTTAACCCATCACCCTCACCCTATGTCCTCAGCATGCTCAGGCAAGCAATTGTCTTGGAAGTCCCATGGTCAGGATTCCACATGCCTTTTGAGCTTAGCCATGGATGGCAAGTACAGCCTTCAGCCCTGCTCCATGGTGTCCTGTCCACATATGGTCTTTGTCTCTGGTCTGGACCAGAACCTACCCAGGTAACCCCACTTCTGTCCCTGAGCTCCAAAGTCCCAAGAAAAGATGCTTATAGAATTAAAATGAGAAGGGTTAGTCTCAATGTGCACATACCTTCCATGGATGAAATGTACTCTATGTTGCCAACTGTATTTGTTGTTAATATGCTGAAAAACTTGTTTAACTTTTCATTTTCTGTAAAGTTCTAAAATACAAGAAGGAAAGAGAGGGATCACTTATATAGTCATCCTACATTTACTCCTCTCAAAGGAGCTGCCGCTGTGTGATCATGTGATACCTTCACAGAGAGACTCCATTTGTGGAAATTTGCAGTCAGAGGTTCTAATGCTAGTGACACCAATAACTCAGCAGGAAAATTCTGGAACATTCTGCCCAGTAAGGCACCTAAAATAATTTAAGCACAGAGAAATGACTTAAACACATTAAAAAAATAAATAAATAAAACACACTAAGTCACTTACCTGTGGCTAAAGAGCAGCCACTATTAACACATAATTAAGATGAATAAAAATGGTGAGCAAAACATTCCCACAGGAGTGTCTGCAGTTGGGCCAAGGCATGCCTAACATGGATACAGAGATTATATGCTCCAGATGTAATTACTTTTTTAAAGATTTTAATATGAATAACTACAAAAAGGCTAGCTCTAGATCCTCAGAAACCTCTGAAAAATAATAATTTCAAAAATCTGTGTATGTTTGTGTTCCCCAAAAAGGACCTAGCATTTCCAATGCATTTTCAAAGGTATGTAGGACTTGAAAGGAAAGGGCACGGAGGGCAGACTAACCAGAATGAAAGCCACACAGGAAACGACTACTTTGTAAACCAATTAAAAACTTCAAGTTACATGGCTAGAGAGATGGCTCAGCAGTAAAGAGCACTTGCTATTCTTACAGAGGATTCAAGCTCGATTCCCAGCTTCTGTACAGCAGCTCAAAACCACTTATAACTCCAGCTCCAGGAGATCCTACTACTTCTTCTGGTATACATGCACGCACGCACGCACGCATGCACACACGCAAACACACACACACACACAGAGAGAGAGAGAGAGAGAGAGAGAGAGAGAGAGAGAGAGAGAGACTGGAGGCTAAGATTCCTAAAATAATATGAGAGAGAGAGGCTGATAAGACTCCTAAAATAATATAAGCTCCTGCCCACCAGAACTAGATTGAACCCTATTGCTGAGGATACCACACCCCTTGGATATAAAGAAACCAAGCTGGAGCTAGGGTGGAAGCTTCTTCCCTACTAGATGGCTTACACAGTGCCAGAAACTGTCCTGCTAGTTGCTGAGGGAGGAAAGGGAACAATGGTCTCACTCAGCTATGAACCCCACAAGCTATAATGCAACCTGGAAAGCAAGACATGCACCTTGGTATAATAAGCAGCTCAACTGTTAGGGAGTTAAGCAACTTCGCTCAGATGAGATTTAAGGCTCCCTTCATGGGGGAGAATATATGCCTAGGACTATAAATCCATGCATAAACAAATGACTTATAAATATATGAAAAAACAAAATCCATTAAGTCACTTACCTGAGGCCAAATAACTGCCACTACTAAGACGTAATCAAGATGAGTAAATGGCAATTAAAAAACAGGGTTCCCACAGAAGTGCCCCTGATCTAACATGGATGCTGAGGTCAAGGGTCCGCAAGGGGAGTTCATTACTGCTGTTTAGTTAAATTGACAAGGTGACAAACATCATTCTAAATATTTGTGCTTATACCCACAGGCAAATGCTAGTCTCGCCTATAGTTAGATGGTTTCTCTTTACAATGAAAGTAGACTAGTGGTTCATCAAAGTCACAAGAGTAAGTGATACTTGAATGCTCGTCCCTAAACAGGCCATTCATACCGCTCTCTTTAAAGTTCAAGGAGCATGGTGAAGAGGGCAGAAAAAGTCAGAAGACACCTTTCAAAACCCACAATCACAGAGAGACCTGGTTAAAATCAGTGAGTCACAAAACAAAAATCAAAAAGACATAAATGAGGGAGGAGGGTAGTTATGGGTAAGGGAGAAGAGGGAGATGAGAGGGTAGGGATAAACATACATTATATTCATGTATGACAAAGAATAAATTTAATTGACTAAAGAAAGGTAAAGCATAGCAACTAAGGAGAAAACAGCATTAACTTAGCCCCCCCCCAAAAAAAAAACTACTCTGCAAAGGATGAAGGAAGCAGTTGAGGAAGCACTTGTTCCTATATGGATGACCTCAGAATGGGGCTGAATACCAGAAGAACTAATCATGTGACTAGAGGACTTTGAAGTACCCCAACCTCTGGGAATGGAAGAGGCACAGGAGACTAAAATCAGGCACACAGTCCAGAATACCAACACAAGCCTAAAGTAGTCAAGGCTCTGATGCTAAGCCAGGCCTGTCATTCTGGCTAATGGCTTAAGCTGTGAACCCAAGCACCTTGAAAACTGGGCCTTTGTTATATTGCAACCCCAAAAGCCTGACCTATAATATACACTTCCCATAATGTTCATGCAATGATGAAATAATGAAAACAAGACTTTTGAATGTAGGGGACATTCTATGAATTCTATGAATAACCACAGTCTTCCCTCTCAAAATCTTTAATGATTATAGTTGATAGCACTTAATCATAATGATCCAGAATTTGTATGGAATTTTAGATTTCTAACTAAGAGTGTCCCAAACAACTAAAATTTCCTGAGTGATGGAAGTATATTTTGCTAATGAGATGATTCATTGTTAACCCTTACATGACCTCAGAATTGGGCTGATAACCAGATAGACTAATCATGTGACTAGAGGACTCACAAGCAGCACAGCCCCTGGAAATGGAGCAGGCTCAAAAGATTGAATTCAGCCAAATGAATAATGATTCAATCATGCTTTGTAAGAAAATGCCAAAAAAAATTCGGGAATTCTAGAAACCCAAGCTCATGGATGTTCCAAGATGGCAAGCAAATACAAGTACTTTCTTGAGCTCTGTGAAGTTGCAGCAGTTAGCGTGCGTGCGTGCGTGCGTGCGTGCGTGCGTGTGTGTGTGTGTGTGTGTGTGTCCTGGTCATTTGTCTTTCAGTAGCACACAAATACAGGGATCTTGTTGGGCAGCAAACCCTTTAATTGGTGAAGTCTTGCTAATTCCAAGTATTCAGTGCCAGAATAAAATGATAATACAATACATTCAAGACAAAAAGAACACGTGTAGACAAAAAGAAAATGCTGGCATAATAGCATTTGATATTAAGATCTGTACTTAAAGTATTACACAACAAACTGGAAATCATTTTGATTAATTCTCAGAAAGAATCTGCAGAGTTAGAGACTTTTACAGTGAAATGATATGAGGCAAAGAGAGACTGATGGTTTCTGAATTCTTAATTACATGATCCTGAAACCACTAGAAACACTGCATTATCAAAATGCAAACTTATCATCCTCACAAATCAGTAACAACAGACTGACTCATAGCTTTGGTCTTCCATTAAGTCAGACTAATAAGTATTTATGACTTGATATCTAGTGCTTCCTAATGCTGTTGAGAAATAATTTAAAAGAGTTGGTGTTTACCCTTACCTTCAGTGAAAGTCAAGGGCAATGTCACTGAGACCGTGTTTGTAAGCGTTAGTAAGCTCTCTCCGCTAACCAGAAAGGCGAGCTCCTCAAATCCAAGGCATGTTCCCCACACAGGAAAATAGTCTCCTTCATCATAACTCTTTGGGAAAATGAAAAAGAAAACTATGTTGATTCAAACTTTAAATATATGTATGTATGTATGTGTGTGTATTTATGTGTGAATATGTGTGTACCAAGCAACACACACACAATGCTTATTATTGCAACAAAAATTTATGCAGAATCCTCTGAGACTTATTAGTAGGCTACCACTTAACCTGTCTTCAGAAACCCTCTGAGGCAGGATGGAAAAGGGGAGCTGGGGGCACATTATGTCTTGACCCAACTGAGCGCCAGTGACAATAAATGAAGAAACTACTGACAATATTTCAGGGGAGAAACAGAGATCTAAGAAGCTATGGCATAAATGCAAGTCCAAGGTGAAGCACTGCATGGTGGCTAGGGGCTCTGCATGGTAAGCTATAGGGTCTAAGGGATGTGAGCTTGAAGTTCCCTGATGAAGCCACATCTGTCTTGAAGAGTCTAGACTGACTGATTGACTAGAAGGTCATGCCTGTGAAGCAACAGCATTCTGTAGATTGACAGCGGAATTATCTTGAGCTATCTTCAATCTGTCTTAACAGCCATTTATTACCTCTGTGCCCCACTTGGCATGTTTATTATTACTAGGTACAGTCTTTGAAATATACTGAACTTTGCTAACATCTGGTTTCCCCAAACCCTAAAGCTAAACATTTTGTAAGCTAGCACCTGAAACTCACATAACAGACCTGTCAACTCGTGTATCACCTGATGCCCTTATCAACTTGGTAAACTATTTTCTAAGCTTCCTTCTGTTCTGCACCACCTATCTTTCGCTTGTACTTGGCCTAGAGTAAAACCTGTCTAGCAAGAGCTGTGTCTGGCATCAGCAGGTGGCCGTAAAGAAGGGGAAGTTACTGGCATAGGCATGATGCCCAGTACACAACAGAAGAGGCCAGAGGGAGGCACTAGCTCTACTAAGCTACAAGGTGTGGTTCACACTTGGAATCCCCAAGTTACACGAGACAAAGCTAACAGGTGGGAACAGACTCTTGATTCCCAGACAGCAAGTATCTTTGACTGTTAAGGGGAATAAAGCTGGAGTAACTGTGAAGAAATCCATACTATACACTTTAAGACAGATGGATCCTTATGGAAACAGACAACCTATGTGGAGTGATAAGCAATAGCAGATATTTACCTCTATGGCCCTTTTGTAAAATATTCTGGCCACGTGGGAATATTCTGAATGTGCGATGCTAACGCTTCCTCCAGGAAAAAGGATTCTGAAACAAAATCAATTAAGATATATTTTCCTCCATTCGCCAACTAAATAAACATGCTTCATGCAAAGAAGCAAAGAAACTTTTCCTTATTATATAAGTAGATACTCTCTCTCACACACACACACACACACACACACATATAGAAGAAACAATTATTTTCAATATATCCTTGAAATAATCAAAGATATTCAAAAATGGTCTGGCTTCTCTGGCTAACAAAGTTAGACTAAACATTAAAGTTCTAAAAAACATTTAAATATGAGTTTGAAATATTATGCTTGAGACTTTTAATTTGTGTGTGTGTGAGAGAGAGAGAGAGACAGAGAGACAGAGACAGAGAGAGAAGTGTGAGAACAGACACACATGCTCTTTCCACATGTGGGGAAGGAGCTCAGCTTACCAGGCTTGCGTGACAAGCACATCTGTTACCAACCAGAGGCTAGTTTTCATTTCAGAACTACATCACGCTTCTTCTATGAATCAGGCTCAGTATCAGCCTGTGACAATGCTGGTTTCCCTTGTTAGGAAACCCACAGTCTAATGGGAAAAGTTTAAACACCTGACCACTAAAACAGCTGCCACAAAGCCACAGCAGAAAGCCCTGGATGGACGGCTAAGGGGATCAATTAGCAGGTCTCTGCCCATCAACTGGGCATTTTACAAGCACCTCTATCAGCATTTGATCTATGGAGCCTCACAGTTCCTTTACACAGAAAACAGGACCGATCATCACCACCAGATGGCAGTCTCCTCAGGACAGGCCCTGTGCTTAGTCTGGTAGGGATTCTCCCACCAAACAGCTTCATGGTACCTCCCAGAAAGTATTTTTTCAACTTAAACATCACTGTACATTTTTTCCCTGTTTCTAATCGAGAGCCTGTGCTGTGGAGAGAGTGTCCGTCTCTGGGAGGAAGTCAGGGTCTTAACTCCTTAAGTTAAATGCAATAAAGAGTAGTTTTCATCTGATTTCAAATCCTGTTCTGTGGGCTAACTACACACATGTTTTATGGTGAAGCAGAGAAGAAACTTTTTTTTTCCTAAATACTATTCAAATTACCTCAGAAAGATAACCTCCGACCTAGAACTTAGAAATTTGAAAACGTCCAAGCATGTAAACAAAGATTAAGTGAAAAAGTAATGGGTCTGTTGTGTAACAACCACGTGATTCCTAACTGCTTCGGTCTCAGGACCAGGACTAAGCTTAGAGTCTTACACAGACCAGGCCAGTGCTCTACCACTGAGCTACACTCTCCCTTTTCCTTTCTCAGACAGACTGGTGAGCTCCCTGCTTACAGGGCTGGCTGCAGCTCTAGCCCTCATCCTGCCTGTCATGCTTTACTGGAGCAGTTGGTACATTATCAGAGAACTTCTAGATAGCTCTGTAGAAACACACGGCATTCACATGGGCACATTAACACAACACATTAAGACCTGATACAATATCAAGCCAACTTACCCATTAATAGATTTGAAAATGTGTGCATAGTTCTTACGTGAAAGATCAAGCCTGAAAATAATAAAAAACAGTTTTACAAATCAAATCATTTCTGAAGCCTAAGGAAAAAGTCACCTCCTTAGTTTCTAAACATTAAATGAGTTTGGGGTACTACAAACTGAACCCAAGGCCTTGCACACACAGGGCAAGTACTACACTTTAACCTAAATATCAGACAATATTACATCTTACATTAGAGATATTCTTGTCAAACTATGAAAATCCCAAAATTATACCATTTAGCTAGTCATAAAAGTAAATCTGGTTTTCTGGGATTTAATGAAATTCAATATTTTAAAGTAGATGCTAGCATATCAAACACTGAACACCAGTAATATCTGTTAGCCAAGAAATCTAAAAATATTCAACCATGTAAATTATGTAAAGACAAAATGGTTAAAGTTTTATGGGGCTGGAAATGGCTCAGCAGTTCAAAGTTCTTCCTGCTCTTCCAGGGGGTTCAAGTCCAGTTGTCACAGGCTACCATGTATGTCCAGCTCCAGATCTTACACTCTCTTTGACTTCTGTGTGTACCTTCCTTGATACATGCCCACATACATATTCTCTCTCTCTCTCTCTCTCTCTCTCTCTCTCTCTCTCTCTCTCTCTCTCTCTCTCTCAAAAAAAAAAGCTTTATTATCGCACATCTTAAGGCAGCTTGGGGAAATGGAAACAATATGAATAAGCACCAAATCCCAACGTCTTAACCCCTCCAACCAGCTGCAAAGGATTGAGTACTGTACTTGAAATCAAGAACAATCCAGATCTAATGGCATACTACTTTCAGAACTCTGGGACTGGATCATTTATTTTGAAGCATCCTTGGTCAAACATCCTTGCAAGATTTTCTAGCAATCACCATGCCACTGATGATTTTATTTCTTTTCCCAGAGAAAATCCAAAGAAACTAACCCATATAAACCTTTAATTAAATCATAGTGAGATCTCTGAAGAATGTGTGTGTGGAATAATTACAATAACTTCTACACTGAGCAGCTTTCTATTTCTAGAAGGCTCCATAAACAACCATGGAAGTTTACAATCCTTAGTAGAACATACTCCATTCTTCCCCAAAGAAAAAAAATATAGGTGAATTTAGAACATGGCTCCTGCTGTTTCTAAGAGCTGTATTTCCCAGCTTGTGCCTATGCTCTCTGCCAGTGAATGTTTTTCTGGCTCTCCTCTAAGTAACACAGTAAGCTCTGACATCCACATGGGTTATTTATAGTCATAGTGAAGTTCTTTTGGGTTCACAGCTACAATGCAGGCAGTGAGACGACTACAGAGTGGTTAACCCGACAGGAGACTCTGCCTTGGAGTGATGAGGAGGTGAACTGTGAGTCCGTGTGTTTTCATTACCCCGCCAACCCAAACTCTTCAGAAATGCCTGGGACTGTCAGCACTACCACCAGCTGCGCAGAACCAGCTGAATATACCATTTGTGACTGTATGCTACCTCTCACCATTAGTAGGCCACATAATTGTTGAGAGTGATGTGAACATTTCTGTCTCAAGAAAATACCAGGGAAAATAAGGCATGATTTGAACAAAGAGGTCATTTATTTATTGTCAGATGTCTCTAAACACAAAAACTTTCAAGGTTGCCCACTGGCACTACACAGCTAACACCCTATGCTGAAGACACCATACACTTTCATATAACAGAGAAATCAAGCTAGAATTAATCGGAACACGTATTCCCTGCTGGTTAGCTTTCATAGTGCCAGAAGGTAGTATGGAGGAAGCTAGAGAAGAAAAATCATACCCAGCTGAGAATCTTATACACTACAAACCAGCCTACCAAGCAGTATGTGTCCATTGGTGCAATCATGTTTTCAGATAACCAACTGCTTTCTAATTAAATATGAGGCTGTTCTAAAGGAAGTTCATACTCACTTATGGATGTGATCAAAGGCTGGTAAGATCACAGGCCCTAAGGGTAAACCTGCTTCTTCTGTTTTACTAAATGGACATGTGGCCAAACTGTCCCATAAATATTTATGTTCACACCTATAGACCAGCACTGCCCTCTGCCTTTGTCAGAGAAGCTTCATTTTCACAACAAGTCGTGACTAATGCAGACACTCATGACTATCCAAGGTAATGACAATAAGTGACAGTTGAATGCCCGGCTCCAGGCAGGACATCGGTATCACTCCAAAGCTCAAGGAACACTGCAGGAAAAGAGGCTTAAAGGACCTAAAAACAGGACAGCAGTGAGGACTGCAAAATCCTGTCTCCTGACATGAACTCACAGCAGCTGCATCGCCTGCACAAGATTGGACTAATGGGCTTTTAGTCAAGTATGGGGAAAGGACTCCTAGGGTCCCAACAGTCACAGCTGCCTCGGCTCCAGGGAGAGCACCACATAGCATCTACTGGTTAAACCCAGAGGGTTACAAAACAAAAACAAAACAGCCATGAAGATGGGAGAGGGATTCGATGGGAAGAGAGGGTGATGGGAAGGGGAGGAAGGACACAGGAAGGGGTAAAGCTGCTTAAGACATCATACACTGCTGACACAGAAACCAGCTGAACTGAGCAGGAAATTCCCCCACTGGCTAGCTTTCTGAGTCTGGGAGAGCAAAGACACCAACGTTCTTACCTAGCACAAACTCTACGTGATGACAAGCAACATGTGTCCATTGCTGCAACAACAGCACACTGTCTGTAAGAATCTCCAACCATTCCCTTGACTGAATTTGAAGCGTGTCCTGCAAGAGGGATTTCATGCCTGGTACTGGAGGCACAGTAAAAACCCACAGCTGAACTCATGACAGCTATGGTTACCTGCACAAAACTTGCCCAAGATCAAGCCAGTTAAAAGTTCCAGCAGATCCAGGAGAGGGGCTACCTACCATGCCCCCACACCTAGCTCAGGAGTTCTGGCAGTTGACAGATGCCGGAAGAGCAGAGTCATTTTTCTTTTGAGATTTAGCCATTGGCAGGTTGCCTATGCCCCCGTGAATATGAATGAGCAGCTAATTGGACTTACTGGCTGAAAATGATGTATTTTTTTAATGGATCTGAAGTTGAAAGGGACATGTTTGCTGTAGGGTGGGACTCTGACAGGGAGTTGGAAGGAGAAGGGGTGGGTATGATCAAGATACATTATATACATGAATGAAGTTTTTCAAAGAATACATTTTAAAATACTATTTTTAAAATGGCAGAAATGTGTGTAATCATAACGAATTAAAGATAAAACAAAACTCTCAGCGGTTCATGAGGAATAGCTTACTGTCTCCACAACTAAAACAAGCCCAATGCTGACGGCACAAGGTTAGCTTCAGTAGCATGAAAAGCAATGGAGTCACCACGGCCAGAAGGTAGCACCTCTCCTGCTGAAAATAAGACCTAGGTAACTATTTTCAAAAGCCAAAGCTTCAGTCTTGTTATTTGTAAATGTTGAAAACCATTTCAAATGCTTTGTGAACTAATTGAGCTTAATCTTAAAGCAGATGCTGCCAGCTTGGGCTGCTGCAGCCCACCTTTCAGGACCCCGTGTGTGTCCTTTAATAGTCCGGCAGTAGGACACGACACCTTGAAAGCACCAGGTCCTGAGAAAGAAGGGAACCAGGAAAGGTAGGCTGACACTAAGGTCAAGCGTCACCTAGAGCACCGATTCTGGCCGAGTCTCTACTCACCTTCTCTCCTCTGAACCAGAAACTAGCCCCAGCAACCAACCGAACAGTAATGTTGCCAGTCTAGTCATTTTACACGTAGAATTTCCATCCCTCAGAGTACACAGTTACTACAGGATCATCACATGATTCCAATTTCAAGCCTCAAAATGAACTCTGATGCCAAAGCTGTACCTACATGCTGCCAATCAGGTTTTCATTATCTAATCATAAATGCTAACATTCCGCAAGTCATCGGGTATCAAAACATCCCAGGTTTCCAAACTCCCATCGTAGCCACCTACTTCTTTCTCTGCGCCCTTGTATGTAATGAGTCACCATTTTACTGATCTCTAAGGACAAGACCCATCAACTCACAGCCACTGCTCAGTGGCACTTCCTCTTTCATGTCACACCCAGCATTCCCCCGCAGCCTGTGACCTGAGCTGCCCAAGGTAAGGCTCTGCAATGTCTCTGTCTCTCCTACATTCACACTAATCTCCTAACTAGCAATTTAAAACATCCATAATCCAAACTTTGGGACACTGTGCTGGAGACTCCTGGGGGCCCCTTCCTCAGCTCTAAAACTTGAGAATATGTTCGAACAGGAGACTGGATTCAGTACTAACAAAACACTAACCTTAAAAGTACAGACAGTTAATCAAATGTGAAAGGTGGAAAGAGACAGTCCTTATGAATCTCAACATAAAGACTGCTTTTTCATAAAACTCATAAGTTCTTAACCTGTAGATCGTGACCCCTTTGGCGAACCTCTATTTCCAAAAATACTTATAGTATGATTCTTAACAGTAGCAAAATTACAGTTATGAAGTAGCAATAAAAATATTATGGTTGAGGTCACCCAACATAAGGAACTGTATTAAAGGATCATAGCATTAGGAAGGTTGAGAACCACCATATTTGCATTTTGACTACTAATAATATTATATAGATTATAACTATTGTAATTTTTTGCAAAATAGGTTGTAGTGGTTGTGTTTTGTGCATAAAATTTCAAAAGATAAGATGAGAATTCTGAGAGATTCTCTGCACTAATTTTAGCTGACAATATGTACATACAAGATTTTTATCTGTTAACTCTTTCCAAGTGAAAATATTCAATGAAATAAATCCCTTCAAAATGAAAATATAAGATTAATCACATTATTTTTACTGAGTCACATTATCATAAAATAAATGGTTATACAGGTTTATTATTATTCTTTTTTTTTTCTTCCTGAGACAGGGCCCTGGAAACTAGCTCTTGTTGACCAGGCTGGTCTCGAACTCACAGAGATCTGCCTGCCTCTGCCTCCCAAGTGCTGGGATTAAAAGCGGGTGCCACCACTACAAGGCCTATTATTCTTTCTTTGAGAGAGAGAGAGTGTGTGTGTGTGAGTATGTGAATGTCCAATATACGTGTGTTAGATCATACAGACCTAAAGTTACAAATGTTTATGAGCTGCCCTACATGGGTACAGGGAGGCAAACTTAGATCTGCGGGAAGAACACCAAGCTTACTTAACCACTGTGGTGTATCTTCAACCCAAAACTTAACACCTTTAAAACTAAGATGCCTATCATTTACACTACAGCAACACTAATACAGCCATCACTGTAGAAAAGTAGAAAGTATATTTATACTCATCTTCTAAAAATGTCCTTCATTCCCTAAGTGTTTCCTTCCGCCAGTACTAGACAGACACTGGCTAAACTGGAGATTCTATGATGATTTTTATGATGTCTGTGAGGAGTGTCTTTTCTGGGCAGAAGAAAGCTATCATGTCTTTCTCAACACAAACAGACATATAGCACACTTTCAGTCTTAAGTCAATGCACACAGAATACTTTCAGGTACATTACAGATACACAGAACTTCCTAAGTGGGAGACTGTAGGCAATAGGTGTGTGGCTGAAATCAGAGGGAACAGGGTTGCATTTAATGATGTAATCATAAGAAAGAAGGCATTAATTTTAGAGATAAAAGATCAGTCAACACATCTATGGGAAGACTACAGAAACATACCTTATAGGTACAACTCTTGCACCTGCAGACTCTATATACTTCACATAGGATGCAGCAATGTAGTATTTCCCCAACTTTTTCATTTCTTTTGTATGGCATTTTTGCATTAATATTCCTAAATTAAAAAAAATGTATTAATTTCATTTATTTTTTACTCAAAGCTGATCGTGGCAGAGCTTACATGTCACTGCCTTGGTTTCTCAGTTCACAGACCTGCATCCCCTGCAAGTCTACCATATCATTGGGAAAGCAATAGGGGATGAAGGTCTGAATTTCTTACCACACCGGGAGTGTTTCAGAAGCCGCCAAAGGAAGTTTCTAACAGCTCCAACTTTCCTCCCACAACCTTAGACTATCCATACACAACACACTAAATCTGTAAGGTGTCAACCTCTTCCCCCCAAAAAAAAACAAAGTTGTACCCTTGTCAGCAAAGCCACTGTAGAAATAACTTTTCTCTCCATCTCTCTAATGCCATCATAATCTAAGTAACCAGCATTCAACAGACCCATCCCAGACTACTAAAAAGTCTTTATTCTTTCATAAGGAACCCTCAAACTTAAGCTTTTCCACAGAAATAAAGTTGACCACATAACCGTTCTCTCATCCATTCAGTATTGTTTAATCATACTGCATTCCAGACACTGAACTAGGTGCTAAGGACTCAGGAATAAAATTAAATAAACAAATAAATAAGGAAAGAAAGAGAAAGAAAAAGAAAAAGCTCCAGCCTCCAGCCTGCAGGTTTTATTGGTAGTGGGTGGGAGAGGAGAGAGGTAAGATAAATACAGAGAGTTATTTTTAGATCTAATTGCAGGGCTAGTGCTTGTATTATGAAAGAAGTCAAAGAAACAGGTGTCCCATTTACAATGCCTCTTAAACAGGGTGGCAGGTCCTCCCTGGGAAGGTAGAACAAGACTTCAGACAGGTAGAGCAGACAGGGAAGGTGCAATGTGAGACTTAATCCAAGCAGCAGTGAGGAGGCGCAATGAGCCACACACCCACATCCGGAAGGAGCAATTCCAGGCAGAACAGCGCCACACCAAGGTCATGAGCCAGCAGGCCACTCTGCAAGAAGTCCATCAAACTGGAAACGTGAGAGAAAGCAAGAAGGCAACAGTGAATGGGACAGAGAAACACAGGCCAGTGGGGGCTACCATCTTCATCACATACCTCAGAGGCTACTGGACTTCATGTTCTGTCTCTCTCATCTCTCTGATTTCCTTCTACCAAGGAAACCCAAGTCTAGCACAGTACTGACATCCAACATACATCAAAGCATGACAGCATATGCTTAATGTGTATAACATCTTGGGTCCATCCCTGGCCTCCAAAAAAGTAAACAACAACACAATATCATATCTGCTCATTGACTGTCATGCCTCTGTAAGTCAACATGTCATTCTACCTGTCTCAGTGGAACATAACACCCACTGTGCTTAAATAAGCACACTGTATCCTCAGCTTCTTACAATAGTTGACACAAATCACTACTGAATATCAAATGTCAAAATGTATCTAGTAAGAATGTTCCTCCCCACCCTCCACCCCATTAGATAGGACAGTCTTCACAATGGAAAAGGAAATTAGGCTAAGAAGGGTACAGAGTGGCATGGGTTACAGAGCGGAACTAAGGCAGAGAGGAGGTTGGACAAGCACAGCATGCAGAATAGTGTGAACATAAATGCCTGCAACAGTAAATTAACTCTGCCATCACACCGCAGCCCATTCCATTTTCCCTTTCCCAGGCAGAGTCGATTGCATGTCCTGTCCCTCAACAGTGTCCCAAGTGCCATATGCACTTCAGGCTATGTCACTTCTGTGGCTTCCTTGTCCTTGAATCTTTTGTGCTTCCTAAAGCAATAGCTCAGTCAACTATATTATCTTAATTGATTAGGTAGAGGGGGCTTCAAGATGGCTTAGCAGAAGGTACAGGAACTTGCTGCTGAGTCTAAGAACCTGAGTTCCATCCCCAGGGCCCACAGGGACAAAGAAGAGAACTGGCTCCTAAATTTGCCTTTTGACCTCTGTAGGTACAAGTGACAAACAATTACATACCTAATGACTATAAACATAAAAAAAAAATAACTTCATACACAAAATGACTAGAAATATAAAAGAAAAGATGCAACTGACCAGGCAGACCAAAAGCATACTTATTTTGCCATTTTCAACAGAGTGTTGTCTCAAATCTAAGAAACAAAAATGAATCTTTTGTCATCTTTTTCTTTTCCCAAAATCCACAAGTGAAATTCATATGTTACACGATTCAACATGAAGACTCTAACCATCACTGCAAAAAAGCTACAAAAGAAGGGTTCCAAATATTAGTAAGCAACCATTGAAAACTGGGTCACTCCTAAATACACAAAACAATTTTCTAGTTTCCTACATATGTCTACTCACAAACTTCTTTTGTCAAATTTTAACTACAGGCTGATTTCTCCTTGGCAGCTTTTCAAATGTCTGACAGGAATACAAACCAATGTTGCCATGTTTGAAACAGAAATATGCTGGAAACTATTACACACTTTATTTTAAATAGAATTGACATTCAGATCCCCAGAGCCACTGCTGTCACTTGATTGGCAAAGGTCAAGACACATTTTAATTCCTTACCTATTACATTTTTATATTTAATGTATTGTATCTTCGTATATATCCACAACCAAAGAAATCTGAGTAAGTTTAACCATGTGCAGAATTTCTGGGACAAGAAAGGCAGGGAAAATGGTGTGGACACGGGGCAGGAAAAGTACCTCTCACACCAGAATCTGGATGACCCTCCCACCAGCTAACATTTAATAGTAAATTAACATCTGTAACGGCCTTTCTCTCTTCTCTGCAGTAAAACTTTTAGGAGTTTCATTCCGAACTTCACTTGCAGTAAGACACTTCCTAACCCCTTGCTCAACCCCAGTAGTTCCGGGTTTTATCCTATTGGGAGCATCTCCGTATCCTACTTATAATCTTAATTATCATCGTGGGAAAGAGATCAGGAATTGAAGGAAGTGGGGTCCTGTGAAAACCTCTTCAGCAATGACCACTAGGTCATTGGAAGCGGAGTCTTCTCTGAAAAAAAAAACACACCATGCTCTCATGTGCGCTTCCTTCTTAAAATAAATCCCAGCTCCGCTTCACAACTCGCTCTCCCTGAAATCCTTTTCCGCATGGAAGCCTCAGACCCTGCGTTTGCCTGAGCTGTGCTTCTTAAGGACGGGTTACGGGACCGCCTCTGGCGGCTTCGGGCGCCCAGAAGAGACCCTTGGAGGAGAAAGAAGCGTGCCGCGGGCGTCGTGGGTCCGCACGCCTCCGAAGCCCTGCGAGCATCGCGGGCTTGCCGCTCCTCGACGCCTGTCCCCACCCGGGGCGCGCCCCCAGCCGTGCTCCCGGGCCTCCTCACCGATGATGGGCTTCTTGGAGCCGCTCTGATAAGGTCTGGACAGCCCTGGGCTCGCGGGCCCGCACAGCAGCAAACCCAGCACGCACAGCAGGCGGCCCAGGCTCGCCATCGCCCCCGGGCCCGCGCCTCCGGCCACCTTTCAAAGGCTCTGCGGGGCGGGGCGCGGCGCGGCGCGCGCACGGGGGACGGGCGGGGCCGAGCGGGGGCGCGGCCCCGCGGCCTGGGCGGGGCCGCTAGGGCCTATGGGAAATGTAGTCCGGGCGCGCGCGTGCGGCGGCCGCGGGGCGGGGGCGGGCGGCTCAGGGAGCGTGCTCGGCGCCGTCCCATCGCCCTGCGCGCTACCCGCGACCCGCGGCCCCGCGGGAGGCACGCGCCCGGCGGCCGCCGCTGGGAGCGGGGAGACGCGGCGGGTGGATCCCCGCTGGCCTCCGCGTGCCGTGAGGTCTCCCTCTGAACTATTATGTCTCCGGGGGGGTGGGGGGGAGGTCACCCGCACCGAACCGACGCGGCCAGCCCAGGACCTGTGGGCGAGCGCCGGTCCCGCCTGGGTGGCCCTGTGTGGTAACCAAGTAGCGAGCGGAGGCCCGTGGCGTTCTAGAAGTCTCCAAAGAACGCTGCTGCGTAAACGCGTGGGTCCCTGACTCAGACATGCGGGCAGCATTCGATGCTAGCACAGCGGGTGGCTTCGGGGAGGCGTTCCACCAGGGTGCTCTGTCTGTTGGGACTGAAGAGCACGGAGGGCACTTTGACGCGCCTGTCCCCTTGCCTTAGAACTGGGTCAAGTGAAGGACTGACTACAGGCACCTAGCCCAAAAGGGCAAGAGCGGGCCACACACTGAAAGGAAGGATGCCTGTTCCTTGGTTAGCCTCGCTGTTAGCACCAGTCCCAGAAAAAGCACCCGTTATTATCTTAGCAAATGATGACAAAGGCTAAGCAGTTAGAGGCTCAGGTTGGCCAGTGTATTTTGAAGGTGCAGGAAGAATACTTACATTCATACATACATACACATTCATAGCCTGCAGCACAGAGAAGTTCCTACTTGTCAGGGCTCAGTTAAACTCCAGATTGAAATAGAAAACCTAATGAAGATGAAAAGGCATATGAATGGTGTCTTTTGTGTAAATGGTTTACAATTGAGGGGGGGCAGGGAAGGCAGAATCTGGCATGTATCAAAAAGAAATGAGCCCGGTGGTGGTGACATACGCCTTTAATCCCAGCACTTGGGTGGAAGAGGTGTGTGTTCGAGACCAGCCTGGTCTACAAAACCTAGTTCCAGGACAGGCCCCAAAGCTACACAGGGAAACCTTGTCTGGGGGGGGGGGGGGAGAAAGAAAGAAAGAAAGAAAGAAAGAAAGAAAGAAAGAGAGAAAGGAAAAAGAAATATAATACATTGCTTAACAAAGAAGTTACTGTAAAAGGGTGTGGTGAAAGATACTGAGAAATGCCAAGCAGGTTTGAGCCTAATTAAGTTGATAAAAATCTATTGTAAGTATGCATGTATGCTGATGGAGAAATTGACTATCTACATACAAAGGGGGAAAAATTGCCTGCCATGACTCACAAAAATCAACTCCAGATGGAAAAGTTGTAAGTGGGAAAGGTAAAATACTAGACTTTGGTAGGTAAATATGGGTGTATATGTGTGTTCATAACTTTGATGTTCAGATGTGTTCATAAAGCCACTTAAAATTGGAGTATCACTGAAAAATGAATGGATTGGTCCATGTTAAAGTTTTATATTTCTGGTAGATTGTCAATTATTGTAACTTATTTTTAACTTATTTTAGGAAGCGATTCTGTAATCTACCACTTCTCAGATGAAGTATGTGCCTATAATGTAGCCTCGATATACTTTGGCACCCCACCCACACACACACATATATTTGAAGCTTTGTCCTCATTGAGGCCATGCTGAGATGGAAAATTTAAAAGGTGGGGCCTAATGGAAGGTAAATAGGTCAGACTCCACCCTCATGAATAGGCTGATGCTATCTATCTCAGAGGTGTGGATCTGGTCTGGGAGGAGTGGATAGTTCCCTTGAAGGGGGTTTATTGTATATGGAACAAGACTAGCACCTTTGAGTCTCTTGCTTCCTCTTTTCTACAGTGAAAACTCTGCCGCTTCCTTATGTGTTCTGCCAACTTTGATGGCTCTCACCAGAAACCAACAAATGCTGGTTCCTGTTAGAAAGAACTACCCTTTAAGATTCTGCTCATAATAAGGAGCCAGATCTCACAGCCTGAAAAAGTCAGACCATGCACCCTGTAGCTCTCTCACTGGGACAGGGAGTCAACAAGTTGCCACTAATCTGTGTTCCTAACTACTACCTGTGTGCACTTTGTCGCATATGCAATCCCAGATTAATCAAGTGATGTAAAACGTTTTACCAGTCATCAAAAACTTATTTAAAAAAAAAAAAGCTAGATGTGGTGGTACACACCTTTCATCTCTGTGAACTCAAGGCCAACTGAGGTCACACAATGAAATGTGGACATGGATGGACATGCTGCATGTGCATGTATGTTGTAAGTATGGAAGCCGTATGTTTTCCTTTGTTCAGTGGGTTTCCCTGAAAGCTCCTCGGGCCTCCTCTGCCATCATGCCTTGATAGCTAGCTCTCTCTCCCTCTCTCTCTCTCTCCTGTGACTTTAAGCTATCTCTCTTACTGAAGCATCTGTCTAGAATTTAAAGGGAGTCCTCTCACTTCATGGCCTGTTACTCTGTCATTTGGCGATGTGCCTCCCAAGGACCAAGATTAAAAGCGTGTACCACCACTTCTGGTTCCATGGTGATTTTAAGTCCCATCAAGTTGTCAAAGAAGATTAACCATCATACGATAAATTAAAAAGCTTCGGAGAGACATGAGAAACTGTTAATCAAATGAAGAACCAGCCTACCGAGTAGGATAAAATCTTTAGCTATACAGATGTCAAAGGACTAATACCTAGAATATATTATATATAAATATATATAACAAGAATATATATATACATATATATGTGTATATATATGTGTGTGTGTGTGTGTATATATATATATATATATATATATATATATATAACAGTAAAAATCAAACTCATCAACAACTTGGTTAATAAAATAGTCCTCAAAAGATGAAACACAAATAGCTACAAAATACATGAAAAAATATTCAACCTACTAGCTATCAGAGAAATATGAATTAAAACCACATTGATATGGCATCGCAAGTCAGCCAGAATGACAGTCCACAAAATAACAAATGTTAAGTGAGATATGGGCAGAAAGGAACTCAGACCCTGTGGACTGTAGTGTCGATCCGTATGGAAGTGTTTCAAAACAACAAAATAGAAGCTATTAGAAAAGCTCAGTGGGTATATATATTATATGTGACTATTACCAAGTGCGATGACCTGAGTGTAATTCCCAGGACCCACACCATGAAAGGAGACAACCAACTCCAGTTACATTTGACCACACATGCACTGTCCCGTGGACATGTACTCCACACAGACAGAATAAATAAAAGGTAACAAACAACAGTTTAAAACTAGCTTAAAAATAGATCCACCATAAATCTAGCTATAGCACTCCTGGGTATTTACCCCAGAGACTCCAAGTCAACATATCACAGAGATTATTGCACATTGATGTTTATTGCAGCATTGTTCACAATAGGTACATTGTGTAACCAACCTGGAGATAGAACAACAAAAGAATAGATAAGTTGGTATATATACACAATGAAATTGTTTCAGCCATTAAAAAAAAAAAAAAAAAAGTTGCGTCATTTGCAGGAAAATGGATGAAACCAGAGATAATCATACTGAGTTGAGCCAATCACAAAAACAAATATTTTCTCTCAGCTATGGTTTCTGAAAGGATGAAAATACAGCCCAACTCTCCAATGACCACTAAAAGTTAGAAGTTTAAAAATATACACCAGCATGTATTTAAAAATCACCCTAGCTACATGCAAAGCTCAGAAAAAAAGGAAACACATGAAATAGCTCAGTCACAATGACCAGTTTCTGGGAATTGTTATTATTCATAACCACCTAGTTACTGGGGAATGTTGTTATTCTCAACGGCAGTCTGGTTTCTGGGAATTGTTATGGGTCATCTTGTTCAAAAAGACATAACTACCCAAGTTTTGAACTGTCCCAAGGCCTTGCTTTCTGGCTGAATAAGGCTAACAGGAGATGACATATCTAACTTTAGTAAACTGCTTTCAGAACCCCCCCCCAATCCTAACTGCCAATTATCACCCCAGCCAGGAGCCCACACCAATACAGCTATAGAAAAATAAAAATTAGTTTAAATTGATGGGTCCACACCACGTGGGATCTTGACACTTTGGGATGATTGGTTTGGTGTGTGGACTTTGTTATAAACCTTATAAAAACTGTCTCAATTCTGCCCTCGAGGTCCTCAGTCCTCTACCCCTGCATGGCATATGACTGTGGACCCCAGTGCACTTGGAATAAACAAGTCCTCTTACATTTTGCATCAAGACCACTTCTCCTGAGTGATTTCGGGTGCTGCCTTTCTTGAGTTAGAGCGTGAAGGTCCACGCTCTGTGGGTCTTTCATTTGGTGCATTAGCTGGGAAACCGTGACCACCCCTTATACCCGAGAACCAACTTGGAGGTAAGGGGATCCCCCTGGGGTGTGTGTGTGTGTGTGTGTGTGTGTGTGTGTGTGTGTGTGTCAGCCAGCATCTCTGTTCTGAGTATTTGTTTTCTGATCTCGAGTTTTCGGTTTCGGTTTTCAGGTGTCCTCTCGGGCTGTAAGGACCAGAGGACTGTGATCAGCAGATGTGCTAGGGGGATCACAGGCTGCTGCCTTTGGGGATGCCCTGCGAGGTGTGGAGGCCCAGGAATGCTTGGTAGACGCCTTCTGTCAGTCAGTAGTACCGAGCTCTGTTGTTGAAGCAGAAGCTTCCTCCACGGCCGTCCAAGTCTTTTGCCTGCTGATGGAAGACACGGATGGGTTGTGTGTGTCTGGATCTGTTAGTTTCTGTTTCATGTGTTTTCGTTCTGTGTGTCTTTGTCTATAATTTTATCATAGGACAGACGGTGATGACTGACGACTCCCTTTAGTTTGACTCTTGACCACTGGACTGAAGTTAAGTCTCAGGCCCATAATTTGTCAGTTGAGGTTAGGGAAATCCTGGCAG